GTCTCCGTATGCGCGGCACTCGACAAAAAAAATAGAATAAAATATGTTTTCGTTTCGGTCTGCCGGTGCGCAGTTGCACTCTCTCTTTCCCTACCGACGTGTACCGGCCACGCGTTGCTCGTACGCCACCGCGACTGTAATTTCGGCGGTTACATAACGCAGATCGCTCTTCTTTAATCTCGTCCCGCCGCTGCCGTTCGGTTCGGCCACCTACCACTGCGCGGACGCGCGCGTCTCTCCCCCGCGCGGTCCGTTGATTATTTTTTTATTATCTCATTCTTTCGGCCGCCTCGTCAATACAATATTCAAATCGTGTTGTGCGATCAGACGCGTTACGAGGAGGGCCTTCTCCCGTTGCCCCGTCCATCGCCTCTCGGCGCCGACATCACGCGCGTTCGCCGTTGCGTACATTTCTCATCGAACAACAATATAGTGATCGTACACCGAATAATAATGACGACGAATAATCGTTCGCGACCGCGCGCAACAATAATAATACACGGTACACAATATAAATGATAATATAATAAATAATAAATAATATGCTCGGCGCACACGCACGCGTAACGTAGACGCACATATATAATGTACGTGCTATCAACAAGCCCCGTCGCGGTCACGTGTATCGCACACAAAGCGCGCGCGCGGCGAAAAATATTTGCTCGTCGCTGCCGTGCGAAAAAAAATACCAAAACAATTCAAAACTTTATGAGAGAGAAACGGAAAATTACGCGAAAATTCCGAAAGAGAGAGAGAGAGTGAGAGAGTGAGGGAACCCCCCTCCCCCATCACTTGAGCGGAACGTACGAGCGCGCATCAGTTGCATTTCGCGTGCACGTCAAAAAAAAAGTCTTATTACCGCTTAGCGGTGTTACGCATGTTAAGCGTACGTGCGCGAACGTTGCCGGTGTCGAAGCAGTCGGCGGGCGGTAGGTACACCGTCGGACCCGTGTCGCGTCTGCGACGGGGCAGGGGCAGGGGAAAACAAATAGACGATGACGACGTGATCGCCGAGGAATTTCGTGTTTTTTTTTTTCGCTCCCCTCGCCGTCCGCGACCGAGGTCGTCGAACCTGTCAGCGCGAACAGCCGTCGCATGGTCGTACCATGGCATTTGTCGCCGTTGACATTTCGCGGCGCGCGCGAGACCTCGCCGTTCGTGTCCGCCGGGAGGTCATTGGGTCACACCGACGATCGCCGCTCGACTTCGGCGAGGTATAACGTTTTTTTGGCCACGCCTTTGGCACACATGTGTTACGCGCGCGCGTACAACTCTTCACCGCGGTCGGTTACCTGTGCGCGATGCGTGCTCAGGCGCTCGCCCGAACGCGGTGCACGTGTGCAAAGGGTGTTCACCCGCCAGCCGCCGGGGACACTTTTGCCGGTCGCGTATAAACATCGTGCAAGCGGTGCCGGGCCGTCGGGCAAGCGCGGCCCGTCGGACTACGCCCTTAACCGGCCGGCGTGCGCGTACCCGATACCCCGGGATGCGGGCCGAGTTGATTGAATTACGCCGACCGTCATGGCCGCGGGCTACGCCCTCGCGGTGGCGGCGAACGGCGAACAGCGCGCGTGCCCGCCGTCTGCCTATCCGCGGTCATCGCGCGGGCCGTCCGCGTGCGTACGCGAGATTGATGATCGACGCGGGCGAATAACAACAATTTATCGGGGCCGTTACTCCGTACTGCCGCTGCCCTTGCACGGGGTATGCCCGTCTACGCTGCGCAATCGTAATAATATCACCGCGACCCGTAACGCGCAACACCCGTCCAACGGTCTATTTGTACCGCGATGACCTTTGTCCGTTTGTTTTTTTTCCCCGTTCGCTCCTGTACGCGGTCTCTCTTTTCGCCGCGCTCTACAATGCATACGGGTCAGGAGGAGGCGGCACACGGAATTTGTTCGCGCCCGTAGGCGTGCTGCGGATCGAGCAGCGACACGATCGCGCGTAAAGTGGTGCGTTACATATTACGCGTATTGTATCGATGCCGCCCCGCGGAGAGAACGAGCAGCACCGTGAAATCCGATTACACCTGTAAAACGGCAGCAGGGCAATAATAAATAGCACGAGAAATCGGTTTACGGTGCACGGACCCTGTGCTGAACGGCGTACGAATCATTTCCGTACGTTAGATTCGTTCGTATAAATGCTAATCTAAAACGTTTCCCTGTAACTTATCCGTGCCACGAACACGTGCACAATGTATGTACATTTTCCGTAGTTTTAAATTGTTTTTATCTTTTCGCGTTGGACAATGATTGTAATGGAAAGGAAAAACAATTTTACTCCGCTAACGCGATGGTCAAATAGTTGAATATTAACTGCATATAAATAAATAGTTAATTCAACTTTAGCTTAGTTGTCAATTAATCGCCGAATAATTATGAATGGCAATAGTGTAAAATGTTTTCAATTTTCTATACGTCATACCTCAAAACTAGGTACGCGGCATTGTTCTTATATGTACATTTTACGTAATTTACCTAAATTACCAATTGGTGCCTCGTTATAAAATAAAAAAATTAGGAATCGCGATTACATTTAAAATATTTAATTATATATTTTTTATGAAAATCACTATTTAAATTAACTAAATAACCTAATGTTAATGATTTAATTAATGTTGGTTTTGATTGACACGCGATATGCGAGTATGTGACATTTATAACTTATGATTATATGAATAGACTTAACATTGGCTAGTGGCGCTTGACATTTTTCGATTATACCTATTTTAATGTTAAAATTCAAAGTAGATATATAATATCTAACTATAATTATTAAATTTGTTATTTGGATAGTAATTTAACTTATGATTTTACTTGTATAATAATTAATAAGTAATAACTAATAGATAACATAGCTCAAGTAATGGTATATATTTTGGTATACTTAATCATTCATACATTGTTATTAATTTATTAAATAATGAACATTTTATTAAAATGTTGAGTGGAGGGAATTGTTTTTAATTTTTCTAATCATTCGATTAATGCTATACCAATGCGGGTAGGTACCTATATCTTAAAAAGTCTTTATGTATGTATATATATATATAAATTATCTTGTCAGTACTTTTAAGAAGTTTGATTACCTAAAGATATATGTACATTTTATATACGAGTGAAATGCACAAATAAAAATCGATCAAACCATTCATAAATTTATGTCTCGGTCTCACTACAAGGTGTTGAAAGTGAAATTATTTAAAATGGCAAACGGAATTAACCGGAATTTAAGTCTGCATCTGTCAGTCAAGATGGAAAAAATAAATAAATAATGGCGGATCACCCTCGTTTAAAATAGTTGTACCTACTACTAAAATACTTAACTATACGCAATACGGATTCAGATCTTCAATTTTCGCCCTACCGTCTATAAACGAAACTATATTAAGTGATTATGTGAACCGGTATTCACATGGTGCACACCATCGTTTATTTCCCGTATAATATGGCATCCGAGGAGTAATACTTTTAAACGGGTAATACCAATAATCTTCGGACAATTTTTTAGTCCGACACCGCAACAGTGCATTCACTTCGTACGGTATGTGTATGATAATTTATTTCATTCGTACGGTGTACAAAACAGGCTTTTCTACTTTGTACAAAAAATCCGCATCGTCGACCCGTAAGTACGGATATGATTCGCATGCAAGAACAATAAGCGGTATACGGACGAAAATCGGGTTTTCCAAACGAAAACGGTTCGTACGCCGTTCAGAACAGGGGGCCCCGGGGTCCGGTGGTCCGAGGCGGTTCCCTTTTCCCACCGGTTTCTTTCTCCGAACCACCACGCGGCCGGCCCGTCATCGTCGCGTCGTGCACCGTACGATAATAGCCGGGCTCGCATTCGTCGCGCGTGTCCGTCATAATTCTCGTGCATGTCCGTATAAGGCGGCCGCACGTACGTAATCATCGCAAAACCTTTTACGCGCACTCGCAACGCGATAATAATGTAATCGCGTTCGAGTGCGTCGTCGCCCGTGTAAACGGCGATCACGCGATCCCGGTGGCCGGGTTGCAAACGTGCGTCGCCGCGTCTTGTTTAAAATTCAAATGACGACCACTCGCGGCGGCTTCGGACAAACGCGCGCTCGCGCCGCTGCTATCGTAACGTAATAATCATTACAATCGTACGGCGGCGATGATGACGTTATTTTCGTGCGATCGAGACGATCGTGTTTGTTCCCGTGCCGCCGCCGCCGCCCTTACGTTTACGCATTATTATTATCGTTGTTGTCGAAGTCGACGATCGGGGGGGGGGGGGGGGACCTCCGCCGACGAAACAATGCGCGTTCTCCGCCCCACCGACGTGTCGGGTTGTGTAACAATCGGACGCGAAAACAATAATATAATAACGATAATTACAATAATGGTACCCCGGGTATTGTGCGCCACACGGATATCGTCTGGGGGCGTCCGGGAATGTTGTTAGACGCGCGCAACGGAGGTGCCGGCGCCGGTCCTTCTCCGGCCTCCGGGAACCGCAGCGCCGGGTCGTGATGGTTTTAATATTCGCGCCGCAGCCACACCGCAGTCGTATAAGGAACCGCCGCGGCCGGCGGAAAGGGCGTCACGTACGCGCATACGTGAGCGCGGCCGACACCATCGTCGTCGCGTTTCGTATATGGAACCGCAGACCACGTGTAAATACCGCTCGTGTACGGTTCGCACGAACGAGAGCCGAAGTTTCCCGTTCTTTTCTATTTTACCGTTGTTATATCCGTAATCCGGCACTTCCGGTCGGCCGCGGCGGGATAAACGAACCGCCGTCCGCCTCACATGGATCGTACGCTCGGGATACAATTGTACCTTTGATTCGCCTATGGGCCCACTCGTTTTATGCAACACGCACGAACTCAGTTTGCATCTTGTTCGGTCCGGAAACACAGATCTTCCCCTTCCCCTCCGCGACGCGTTTAGGTGATCGATATCTCGCCTGTCGACCTAGATTTAAAAACCCTAACTGATGTCGGTCGTCTTCTTTTCTTTTAGCTGAATGCCGAGTACTCCATGAACAGCCGCTCGAAAAATCCGATTACCCGAACGACGGACCTGACGGTAGCGAGGACGACGATTTGGAAAGTTCTGTGGAAGAAGACGACAAGGAAACGGTTGTACCGGCCATTATAACAACAGGTCTTACGTTCGATGTGAGCGAAGGCACGACTGTAAATCTCCCGTGCAAGGTGCCTGAAAAAGTCGGTGAGTATCATAGTCCGAATTGGTCGTAAACTGATAATAAAATAAGCTTACACGCGGTCGAGTCTTTATTAAAACCCAAAATACTTATTAGTGAATTTATTAGCGCTTTATCTAATTAATATTTTGCTCCCGTGTCTTGACAAATATGAGTGAGTAAACACGGTTTGAATATGTGTATTTTAAATTCAACACAATACATTCAATTTCTCAATTCGTGCATAACATATTTACACGTCGATCGTCGTACATATCTCGCCGTACGACTCCGTGTCGATCCTTTAGCCTTTATCCGAATCCTACCGCATCCGTTTATACTCTAACGTCGTATTAAATATACACACGACCACTTGATGTATACAGTGATTTATTTTTATGTTTATTACAGCAAACGAATTTGCGCTATTATGGATCAATGGCACCAAGAGCATAATGACTGACACTTCTTCGAGTACGACGGACCCTAGAGTCAAAGCAGGAACACCGGCGCCAAAGGGATCCGGATTCGTGGAAAACACTCTGGTCATCGAGCTAGTAACACGATGGGACTCTGGATCGTATACGTGCAAGATGACGTCTGAACCCCCCGTTAAGATAACGCACACCCTTCGCGTCACACGTCAGTATTTATTATGTATTTTATTACCATTTCTGTATTGTTATTAAGCGCCACTCTATCGACATCTGCAGCGTGAATGCGATTTCGTATTAGGGTACTTTTATCTTAGTTATGGGTGGTTTGGTTGCGGTAGGAAAGAAAGGCGGGAAAGGTTAGAAGATAAATGTAAAATATGTTATCTATCGATAGTGATCATAATCACCGTCTGACTAAAAATTACTTTTTGGGTTCCCGAATGATGACAAAAACCAAAAAAACCATCAGTTTTTAGCAATATTAATTACATAACACTGTTTTGTTCTTAAACTTTTACTAAATCACAGATTTTCAGCTCCAGGAAACCCGTTTTATTGTTAAAATTATTTTGGTAGTTATTAATTTTATTATATATTAAAACTAAATCGCTAAAACGATCGCAATAATACCATTGCTGTATTATTTATTTATTTTTAATTTACAAAGACGATTTGTATGAAATATTTCATTTTGAACATACGAGTTTAATAATATTTTTCAATGTACATTCAAGGTATATTTTTAATTATAAAAAATTTTAGTTTAATTCAATTTTATTTTAGTGACTTCAAAACAAATTCCTGAAAATAATATATTTTTTATTTGTGAGGGTTTTGATCTAGGCGTGCCATGAGTTTAATTTTTATTTTATTTTATAAAATGATTTATTTTTCTATAATTTATTAACATATTCATAATTTATATTATTATTTATGAAATCATTTTGAATGATTTTACTATTTATATGCACAGTAGCTCGTTATAGAATTTTTTTTTTTTTTACTTCTTCCCATTTTTACTTAGATAGGTATGTATAAAATAATTACATTTATTTCGACATATTTATAATATATTTATATATACATAATATAGGTAAGGTTTTACATTTTTAGTATATATATAACATATATATAATTTTGATCATAACCATAGATATTTTCTTTTTTTTTATGTTAGTAACGTCAACTATCTTACTCCATATTACATTTTATTTCAAATGTAACAATAATAAATTTATTTTATAAGCACCCCATTCACCTTTCAGGAATTTACAAGTGTATATAATTTTTTGATTTATAAGGATTTAAATATCTTTACAAATAAGCATAATATAAATATATTTATATAACTTTATGTAACAACTTAATTAACTGACTGTAATAAAATTAGGTACTTTTATTACGTATATTACACAAATATATACGTTTTCAAATATGTGTAATCCAATATGGTATAAACTTGGAAATGTTTTTGACCTGTACATTAAAAATACTTTTGGGGCTAGTATAAATCCAGAAATAAAATATTCAGTTATTCGTAAGTAATCGAAAGCGGTATAATAAAACTGATTTATGTAAAACTTGGATTTAGTTAAACGAATAATAATAATGCGTCGACCATCATACTATTTCTTATCGGAGAAAAAATGGTATAAACCAAGACTGGTTGTTAATAATAATAGATGTTAAGATACGATTATACTGATGTCTCAAGGTGAAAGATGTACCGTTGTTAACCGCAGAGATTCGGTTGATAATGGAATGGTTGTTTTTTCGGAAACCGCAGGTGACGCCGGTAAAACATATATCCGCAGTCAATCGTTGTGTAACCGATCAACGCGCGCATTTTTTGCTTTATTTTTCACTTTAACTCATGATATCATTCCCCGTCTAGACCCGGCCAAGATCTTGTCGGTGCAGGCAACGGGTGGTGTAAAATCTCAACAGAACGCCTCCGTAGTGAAAAAAATCACGTTGAAACAAGGCGATCCTGTGCAGCTGGTGTGTAATGTGGCGGGATATCCAGAACCCACTGTGCAATGGACAAAAAGGGTTAGTACTTATAATTCAATGCAATGCATACATGTGTATGTGTAGTAGGCATGTCTAAGAGGGCATGCCTAAGGTATCTGTGCTGCAGTTTTTTGGAGTTACCAGTCAACCGAGTATTAATACGGAGTGGAAATAAGTTCAGCACTGTGCATTCAATAGACGAAAAAGCATTAAATAAAATTAAATATAACTGAAGAATATGCTCTCCGAATGTTTAAAATTTTTTTTTTTTTAATTAAAGGTTATGCCTTATATTAAATTAGCACTGGTCATTAAAACTAAACTGGCTCACGGATTATAGTGTGTGTATGTGTGTGCGCGTGCGTGCGTACGTGCGTATATGTATGTGTAATAGCCAATGACGGAACTAGGGAGTGGAAGACGGGGATTCATCCCCGGGCGTTAAATGTTAGAGGGTGTCATTTTTGTTATAATTAATAATTAATTTTATATTTTTAACTTTGTTAAATACTGTTATTGGGTTAAAACTCTATAAATATGATAGTATATAAATTATAAGAAAAAAAATTCTCGAGAAGAATATTTGACTATTGGCAGGCGCGGATCCAGAAAATTTTGACAGGGGGTGCTCAAAAAAAAAAAGATTGTTACACCTTTCTATTTATTTAAATTAATATTTTCTATTTGATTTATTGGTGCTAACTTTTTTTTCATACATCAGTATTTATTAAATATAAACTTAAAAATAACAATAATTTCTTACATATATTGTAACTGTAATTTTCTTGGGTGTTTTTCATTGAATTCTTCAATAACTTCCTCTGGAGTAATTTTAATATCCCTATGAATATTAAGAAGCATAAGTCCATTTAATCTATCCTCTCCTATTGTTGATCTTAAATATGTTTTTGTTTGTCGAAGTGAGGAAAATATTCTTTCTGCGGTAACTGGTATAACGCAAATAATTTTTAGCAATTCCTTTATATTAGGATAAAATTCAGATGCATGAGTCAAAGCTTCTATAGCAGTTTTAGGTTTATCTAATTGGGATTTCCAAAATTGTTTCCACAAAGTAACTTCACCTCTAACCTCTTCTATCGAGCCAATTAGATCATCGATATAAAATTTGGCCGATTTAATAATTTTTTCGATATCTGTATCTTCAAGTAGGAAAAATGGTATTAAATATTGTAAATACATAATCGTTTCGTGTCCGTGACCTAAAAATCTATTTTTGATATCTGATATTAAATTATTTAAATTCCGATAACGGAATAACCGATATTATTTATTATTATTATTATTATTTTGAAAAATAAGAAATAACATAATTTATAATATAAATTTATTTTGTTGGTGGCCAAGGCGACAGGGGGTGCCCGAGCACCCATAGCCCCCCCCCCTGAATCCGCGCCTGACTATTGGTCTACGATAGGGCGTAATTTTAATATTTTGCCCGGGCGTAAAAATTCTTAGTTCCATCTCTGATAATAGCTACAGTTATTGACGTACAATTATTAACAGGCAAAGTACAATCAGCAGCAAGTCAATGCCGCAGAACAGTCCTCGGGGCTGGAGAGCTCAACAGCGCCCGCGACCGTAGTGGTGTCGAACACGAACGAAGTGCGAATCGAGACGGTGTCCGCTTACCGCGACGCCGGTTATTACGAGTGCACCGCGCATAACGCTGCCTCCGTGGTAACCGTTTCGGAAGACGGGACGTCAGCGAACTCCGCCCGTTCTGGAATAGAACTGGAAATCGATTGTAAGTGTGTTATACCGAAAAAAATATATAAAAATAATATAAAAATTATTATACGTACATAGCCTATAGCAGCGGTTCTAGACCTTTGGTGGCACGCGGACCGCTGTAAGAGTAATCTTTGATGCCACGATCAGGCCTGACGAGAAGGGGGGAAGGGATGATCCCCTCGGGTCCGAAAATTAGGAACTACAAATTATTAAAAATCAAACACATTAATGATAAGAATTTAATGAACACTGCAGAAAAAAATAAGATATACCCCCGGGCCCGAGTTTTTCTCTCCACGGTACCGCGAGTTGATTAAGAAAAACCATATCGTTCTAATTCAAATTGTTCGTATACTTTGATTACATCCGCGCGCAAACGGGAAAACGCGCGGTGGACCCCTGACATGAGTGTCGCGGACCGTAGATTAAAGGGCGGATATTGTCTGAGAGAATGAGCCCGAATCGCATAATATTGTGAAGTGATTTGTGAATTGATATGTATGATTTTGGTGCATTGTATTTTTGGTGCGAAAGTCAGACCATTAAAAGGACATAATACTTTATTAAAAAACCAGGTTTTTCTTCTATATCCATCACCATTGGAGATATAAATCGAATGGTATAAACTGTTTCTGAGTTTAAAAAACCCATGTAGCAACGCTATTCACCCATCATTGTATCTCGCCCGACCTAGGAGTTTCACTCTCTTCCGGCCAAACGGTCAAAGTTAATTTTCCGCCAAAACGATGTACGTACAACTCATGATGCATTTCGAACGGTTAGCCTAAATAATCAAATCCCGGCCGAGAACCACCGATTTACGAGGCAGTGCTTGATGGTAAGTGTTCATGATGTGTTCGATCGTTTTTCGCAGACCAACCTAACGTGATGGTTCCCCGACCCGTCGTCAACACTGGCGAAACGTACCCAGCCGTGTTGACGTGCACCGTCAACTCGTTCCCCAAGCCCAAGGTGTCGTGGGAAAAAGAAATGATCGCCGCGGACAATTCGTCGTCGTGGAAACAGCTGGTTAACGATGCGTCCAACGGACGGTACGAGTTCATCAGGCAGATGAACGCGGCCGTCGCAGCGGGCAACGGGAGCGCGGTGCCCGCGGGAACCAATTACATTTTGAAAGTGAAACGAGTGGAGAGCTCGCAAGACTTTGGCCGGTACCGGTGCATTGCCGAAAACAGGGTTGGCAGCACTTACTCGGAACTCATCACGTTAACTGGTGCGTGCCCATGGTACACTATACAGACGTACGGTCGAAATTAATAACGAATTCATGACGGTTCTCCGAAAAGAAAAACGGAAATTTCACCGAAACCAAATGCGATTATTTCCGTTTTTAGTGTGCGAAACGTATGCAACAATTAATACTGCGTAACGCGTAAAATATGGAATAATATTACCCATAACATTTCGGTACGTAATAGATCTAATATTTGAAATACTCGACAAACGATGATGTTATGTACCGGGATGAAATCGAATCCGTGGCACAGAAACTTTATTTTTTTTCTTTTTTTAAACGTCATTGATCCTTAAAAAGAATTCGTTGTACAGACCTTTCGATTGTACGTGCGCTGTATCTCTAGACTCGTCCGTCGGTGACCGTTCCCCCCGAGTGCACCGCCGGCGAGCCGCGTGAACGTTTGAACAACACGCGCACATTTTGCGTACATCGGCTGTGTTGCGACACATAGTTCTCTCGACATTATTATTGTTTTTGAACGACGACTGACGATCCGGTGCGCGTTTCAGGTTCGCCGGCCCGACCGCAGATGTCTTACGTGCAAGTCAAGGCCGTAACGCCCGAGCTGGGATGGATCGTGGACAGTTCGTCGCCGCTCGCCGAGTACCAATTGCAGTACAAGCAGCAACAGGTACGTGGTTTTAGACGGCGCGCGACCGCGCGTCGTGATCACTATTGTCGGAGGGCCTATACACGTCACGGGGTGGCCACTAACTAGTGCGGCCGTACACCTGATCGGTTCTAACGATAAACGTTCGTCCAAACAATCGTAACAATTTATAATTAATACGTATATTATGTAGTACTCCCGAATGGTTATATACCCAACGTGATTCATTTATTTTTTGTTTTTCGTTTAAATCACTTAAACACTTTAATTCGGTCGACTACCCGTAGCCGCGCGGACCTGAGTTTAGTTCGCGCCGACGCGGCGTTTGTGATCCGTGATGACGATAAACGAACAGTGATGCCGCCCGTATCGATCGATAAGCGGCCAGCGGCCACTTTCCCCGACACACGTATAGGCTCTCTAATCGTTATTACTGCGGTCCGCGGGACGGACACGCTAAACAGTAGTAGCCTAACGACCGATTTGACGTTGCGTGCGCAGGACTCGCAGGCTTCGTGGACGGATGTGCGGCCGCAGCCTCAGGTGGTCGAGCCCAGCAGTAGCGCGGGTGACGAGCGCCGGTATACGATGTCGTACACGTTCGGCGAGGGCCAACACAATCAGCAGCAGGCCGGTGAACCGGCTCTCGTGCCGCCCACCCTGCAACACGGCATCACGTACGTGGCCCGTCTCCGGGCTAAGAACAACTACGGCTGGTCCGATTGGTCGTCCGAAGTCGTGTTCTCCGGTACGTATTCCCCGGTCTACTTACACACGATGTATTTTACTCGTATCACTCGCACGCGTATACCTACACGTGTGTGTACCGCCGAACAAGAGTATTAACTATAATACTGAGAGGTGTAGACGATATAATATTATGTCTTATCGTACATGCGGTGTAACATTACATTGTTATGTTTAATCGTTTGAGTTTGTCGCAGGATATTATAATCGACGTACTTTTAGCATCTTTAAAAAAAAAAAAAAAATATCCAAGCGTAACGTCCGTGAATATCGTATTCACCTTTTGTAGCTATTTACCACAAGGCTATAGGTAAACGCGTAAGGGTGTTTTAAAAGGATCTCAAGAATTTCTGGTTTGTTACAAAGTTAAAAACTATTTTCCATTTTCATATTAAAACGTTTCGATAGTAACTTTTCGAGTAAAAAATAAATACACCAGTTCAATGACATCATTTGAGTAATAAAACAAAATATATCAATCGATTTTCATGATTTTAGAGCTTTTTTGCGAAAGCGAATTCAATGTCCTGGATTTACGTTCATTTAAACTGGCCACCTTATGTTGATTAGTTACACAAAGTAATCTACGCTTTTCGATCGCATCAACGCATGTATAGTTTACTGTGCATCGTACTAAAGCATTTATCGCAAATCCATTATTTTATTATTTATTTATTTTTATTTTGTGTCATGTATTTGCATTCCACGCACTCGATATGCTTAATATTTATTATTACAAGTAGTTTTATATTCACTTTGACGGTAAGCTTGAACATTCATACGCTGACGTGGATTAGGATGGTGACGGTCACATTCTGATCACTTAGCACTATTTGTACGAGTATATAAATACTTTAAAAAGTAAATTTAAAAACATGCAAATACTAATGAATAACCTCGCAATTAAAACTTTGGAAATCATTAATTTACGAATTTTAAGATATATGGTATTTAAATGAATAAAATTAGAACTTTGTTAAAATAGATAAAGATAATACAAACACGCAACGTAGCTGTGACCTTCAATTAAACTTTAATTTTTTTCCCGGGTCATCAAATGTTCAAAAGTAATTTAAAACAAAATACATCTTACTCTTTCGAATATACCATATAGTCGCCTGCTAATTATCGGTGTCAATAAACATATTGTTTACTTTTCGAGTGGTTCCTTATACGGTTTTTATTATCAAATATTATTTTTAGACTCCGGATACTATAATAAATGGATGACAAATAAAATCACAACACGAACAAATATGTTAAATCTGTTAAAATTTCTAATTAGTTTCTAGAAACTTCAAACACTTTGTTGTGTATATTTTTAACAATATTAAGAAAAAGTCACTAAATATATCGAAGAGTTTTTCTTCGTAGGTGTATAATTGCTTGTTTGTAAGAATAAAACGAGCTCAACATCCAAACGTTATTTTTTATATTATTTTTATCATTTTTATTATTATTTTTATAATTTTTATTATTATTATTTTTATTATTATTATT